AAACCCTAAACCCCCTAAACCCCCTAAACCCCTAAACCCCTAAACCCCAAAAACCCCTAAACCCCAAAAACCCCTAAACCCCAAAAACCCTAAACCCCAAAAACCCTAAACCCTAAACCCCTTAAACCCCTAAGCCCCCAAACGCCTGGGGGATCCCAGGACCTCGAGGAGATCCGGGGCTGCGCTGGGCTGAAGGACGTGGGTCAGGTCGCAGGGATAGATGGTCCTTTTTGGGGTTTAGGGTTTAGGGTTTAGGGTTTAGGGTTTAGGGTTTAGGGGATAGGGTTTAGGGTTTAGGGTTTAGGGGATAGGGTTTAGGGGATAGATGGTCCTTTTTGGGGCTTTTTCAGGGGTTTAGGGTGTATAGGATTTCGGGTTAGGGGTTTGGGGGTTTATCGGGGTTTAGAGGTTTATGGGGGTTTAGGGGTTTACAGGGGTTTAGGGGTTTAGGGGTTTATCGTTTAGGGTTTATAGGGTTTAGGGTTTAGAGGTTTGGGGTCTCAGGGTTTGGGGTTCAGGGGCTTTCGAGTTATTGCTACTAGACGGTCCTGGGAGCTCGTGGGGACTGTCTTGCGGGTTCTTTTGCTTTTAACGGTTCCCTGCTAGAGATCGTCCTTGCAGCTAGTAGAATAAACCCGGCCTTCGGACTCTGAATAGTTTTGAATTCCAGCGAGCTTTGAGGATCGCAGGATTGGAGTTTGGGGTTTGGGGTTTAGGGTTTAGGCTTCGGAGTTTGAGTTTTCATTCTGGGGCTGCGCTTCTGGAGTGCAGTTGGTGCGGGATTTGGTGCTTTAGGTAGTATGGTGAACCTTGATGCTGTCCGGCGTCTTGTTTAGGGTTTAGGGCTCACCTCTTCAAGCCAAGAACCATCAGAACAATATAAAATACCAAAACAGACGATACGATAACACATTAACAATATAATATACTACAACTTCTTGGAGTATGCCAGAACATACCACAATCAAACTCCCATGAAAAGACTATGCCACCCTAAACCCTAAACCCTAAACCCTAAACCCTAAACCCTAAACCCTAACCCTAAACCCTAAACCCTAAACACTAAACACTAAACCCTACCACAACTGTACTACAGCATCCCGGGGGCTGGAGCCAGTGGGAGGTCGTGGTCTCCATGCGAATCACGCCCCCTCCGTAAGGGTGGGAGTCGCCGGCCTCTAGCAGTGCAGTCACTTTGCGGGGTTTAGGGTTTAGGGTTTAGGGTTTAGGAGTGTATGGCTTGGCGGGATCTAGGGGCTCAAGGGGGTTAGCGGTTGAGGGGTTTAGGCTCTAGGAGTTAAGGGGCTTACGCGGTTTAGGGGTTCAGGCTTTAGGGCTTTCAGCTTTGAGGCTCCATGGCCAAAGTTGAAAATGACCTGGGGACTAGGGTTTCGGCTTGGGGCTTGGGGTTTGAGGGCTCGGGGCGTAGGACAAGAATGGCGAAGCCATTCTTGTCTGGCCCCTAAACCCTAAAACCTAAACCTTAAGCACCCTAAACCCTAAACCCCAAACACCCTAAACCCCAAGCACCCTAAACCCTAAGCACCCTAAACCCTAAACCCTAGGCACCCTAAACCCTGAAGCCTAAACCTTAAACCCTAAGCACCCTAAAAACTAAGTTGTCAGCTGGGAAACGCGAGCTTCGGGGACTCCAGAGGACTTCGGGAACTTAGCGCATGCTGGAGTGAGTGTAGGGTTTTCCTTGAACACCTCTTTTCGACCTCTGAGTGTAGGGTTTAGGGTTTAGAATTTAGGGTTTAGGGTTTAGGGCTTAGGAAGTGTTTTGATGCTTCGAAATATTCCTTTTACGAGTTTAGAGAGCTCTGGTTCGTATTCGCGGTGCAGGCCGCTGATGTTGAAGCCTCCTGACAATTTCTTGGCTTGATTCTTGGTGTTCTTCTGTCTTTCAGGGTTCGTTGCTATTCTTGTTTGAAGACTCTGTTCTGTGATGGTTGAGGTAGCAGGAGGCCGGAACAAACCTGTTCCTTTATCGGGGTTTGAGGGTGAGGGAGCCCATTCTAGGGTTCAAGGTCAAGCTTGGGATCTGAAGCCTACGGCCAGCAAAACCTTCGAGTCTCTACGCCCTGAACCTAAACCTTAGTGGTTCATGTATAGCAGCTCTGTTTGAAGCAATGAAACTAATCTCTGTAGAAACAATAAAGCAGCGTAAGTAGCCAACCCTCAGCCCTGATCGACCTATATATTTCGTCACAACCCTTAATTATATGACTTTTCTACACCCTTATGCAGCTTTACAAAACCCAGATAGGACCCTTAGACAGCACTGCAATTACAAACCCTCATATAGCTCAAGACACTAACCCTAAACCCTAAACCCTGGAGGAACCCAACATCCTAAACCCCAAACCCTTCACGTAAACCTCAGTGGAGCCCTAAACCCTAAACCCGAAACCCTAAACCCTAAACCCCCCCCAAAAAAGAGCCTCTCCGAACCATTTGAAAAGCAGACCGGTGGGAAGCACCAGGTGGTTCGAGCCTCCGTGAATCCTCGTGGCCCAAGCATTTTTGGTAGGGGTCGAGGGCTCCATGTCCGTAAGGCTTTTTGAAGGGCTTATGGGACTATACGTAGGCCTTTGGGGCTTGAGGATTCTCAAACCTTAGAGTCAGAGTTCTTCGGGATTTGCCGGTTTTTGGCTGTTCAGTGCTGAGGGGCTTTGGGCTTTCATGAGGGTTTGGCTCTCACTTGCTTTCATGCTGCACAAACGCTCTATACAGGTTCCGGGTTACTCTAAGGATTTCTAGAGGTTTACTGCAGATCATCACATCGTCTTTGTCGGGCTTGTTTCCTATCTGGAACCACTTTCTTGCGGCAGTTCAATACCGTAGTGCTGCACATCCCTTTCCTCGTCGTACATGTTGCGAGAACACTCCACTTAATCTCTGAGTACTCCAGCGGAGTCCCTTTTAGAGATGATGGATTTGAGATTAAGCGTTCAGGGAGATTTTGCCATTTGAGTTCAGTGATCGGGAAAACTGTTCCAAATCATCCCGGCATCTTCAGATTCGCGAACATGTTCGGCGTTGCTTCTTCCATGGCGCCGAGCATGATTGTCCCAAAGGAGTACGCCCACGCGAAGCTGGTGGCCAGGTACGTCCACCAGGGCCGCCTTCTGGAGCGCGTCGCCGGCGGCGTCGGCGCTTTGGTTCCGGTCTCCACAAAGACGACGAGATGCATGAAAAGGAAGAGTGGGATGAAGACCAAGAAGCCCCAATTCAGCGGAGTAAAACCCGCTTGAATGCCGCATGCCACCGCCACAGTTCCCAGAGCTGACAAGGCAAAAGCATAGGAGCCGATCTTCATCGACGCAGCGTGCAAGGCCGACGGGTCCAACACGATTGCAAGCCGAGAAGCGCACTGCACTGCGAACAAGGAGATGTTGTTCGGTTCAGGAGTAAGGCACACCCACAAATGGAAGCACAGGATGTAGAGAAGACCCAGCCGCGCACATCGCCTATCCAAACGCCCCAGCAAGAAGACCAATCCCATCGAGACTTCGACTGCGACTCCTCCCAATGGTACCCAAGGCAGCACGGACCTCCCAAGCTCCACCTGAGACTCCCACGACAAAGTCCCAAAGTACCGGGTGACGTGCTGGGAAAAGAACACCCCTGCGCAGCTGGCCATTGGATCCAGAAAATCGGCATTGAGCTTCCAAAAGCCGGCAGCCAGATAGTAAGCCTTAATTCATAGAAGGGTCTTATAGGCTCTGTCGGGCTTCATGGAACAGGATTAAGGAAGACAACTTCAGCTACCATTGCAGGCATGTGCATGAAATAATATCAGATGCGTTCCGTGTTATATTGATGTTAAGAAGGCTCCTATAGAAAGACCACGAAGCTGAGAACATCTCATGAATGGTGCTGCTCAAACTGTCGACGGCGCCTTCGGCGCCTCCGGCACCATAAAGCAACAGCCACAAGGCCATGGTTAAGTCAACCTGAACAGTCCAAAGATCACTCTCCCAGGTATACGGCATCATGCTCACCTGGGTTGCAGTTTCGGACCCCCAAAGTACATGTATGTGTTAGGCATCTCGACAGAACCAGACGGAAAATATGAAAACCAGACAAGAGCTGCCAGCTAGGTACCCAATAGCATGGATAGCCAAGAAAAGGAACCGCCATAGCCAGCGGTAGCCAATTGGTCCCGGCTCCCGCTGATTTGCTCGAAGATTCGAGCCATATCAAAACAAGAATGCTCCATATGACTGTGAACACCAGAAGCCACGACCAATCTTGGAAAATGAAAGCCTGCATCGCACCACACACGGTTGTCAGCCTGAGGTATGTTCGTATCCGAGGATCGGTCTCCATGGCAGCAACCCACCGCTTAAAGCAGAAGCGAATCTGCTCGAGGCTTGCTTGGCTGCTCGGTAGTGTCAAAGCCCGGCTGCGGATGCATCACGAACAACTGAACAGTGACATCTGCTTCATTCGTGCATTTCCTCCGCATGCCACAAACATCAGACCCTGTAAAACTTTCCCCTTCTTGAATCTCATGACCAAGGAACAAATCGCCGCGACCTCCCAGCCGATGCGATCAGCCGTCATCCCCTCCAAAAGATCCATTTGCTTTAACTTTATATGGGGTTTCGAGTATGATGCCTGATCGCTTCGTAAGGCCAGAAAATGCGACCTTTCGGTCAGAACTTCAACCTTCAAGCATTGTCTTTGACGATTATGAAATTGCCGCTGAAGCTGCAGCCATCGATCAATGCGCAAGCGCGACCTGGATCTTGCAAGTGCTACGTCGCTTCGTTTTGGCGTTGAGAACCCGTCACCGGCTAAGTTTAGCTATGTGTGTAACGTGTTTCGAGAAACATGCGCTCGAATAATCAAAACTCAAAGATCCTCCAAGACATGTCTGATGCTTGGATGCTCTCAAAAATTCAGTTGCTTCGCAATTTTCATCGGCAGGATTGAACCTGTTGTGATTTGCATGCTGTTGACAAATCTTGCCAGTAAAACTCCAAATCAACGGACGAAATTGTAAATCACCCATGAAACATCGCGCACATTCAGATGGCCTCTAAATGCAACAACGCCGGCTGTAAGGCACCGAACCACTGAGTCCATCCATGCAAAAAAGAACAAAATGTTTTGGCACGGGCGCGGACAAGACCATCAGGCCGTCTATCTGATGTCTGCTTCCACGAATGGCTACAACTCGTCAATGGAATGCAGCTTAATGCAAGCGCTGCAAAGTGAAACGTCCAAGAATCTCAGCTCCTAATTCTAATTCTATGCACGTGACTATCAGCTGTTTACCGCTTTACAAACACAAAAACAACGAAGTTTTACAACCTCCGGCTACAACGTAATGATGGATGGGAGAACAATCTTAAGGTCGGTGCGTTGGTGCTGTCGTACAATTTCAATCCAAGGAGGACTTTCGCCTCATTGTTTGCGTGTAGCGAATGCATTCGTGTGCTGTTTCATGAATTTGCAACCTTTCTGTTGCTGACCTCAACTGTTGCTGCCATCAATGCCGCATCTCCGCAAAAGCATTTTAAAACTTTCCAAGGGGCATGTACTGCTGTCGTGCGTGTCTGTGTGTGTGTGTTTGTCTAGTCAAATCAATAATAAAATGATGCCTGGATTCACTTCGAAGCATTCATGGCTGCTGCTTGGTGAAATGGGTGTTGGAAGACGAGGTGGACAGCATGCGTCTGGTGGCAAAGTGGCGATAAATCAGTCAATCAAACGTCTTGACACTGGAGGGATCTTGTTTGTGATTTGACGGTCCTTTGCTAAATCCTGAGCGGTGACCTCTCTTTGTTCAACAGCCATTGTTGCCATGTAATGATGTTGGCAACTGTCAGTTGTATTCGTTGCGGCGTCAGCCTCGCTGATTGGCACTCTGGTAATTCGCAAAATGCAAACATGAAAGGTTTAAACCAAGCTTTAAGGTTCGCTTGAAACACCGGACAGTCTTCACTCTTTTCTCTTGACAGCATTTGGCTGTCTACTGTTGCTGTTGCACTTGGTAAGAACGCGGCAAGTTTCTCAACTTGATTGCTTGAAAACGAATACATGTTCAAGACAAGCAGTAACTGGCTACACTTCGGAGTTATCCGCTGCATCTTGCCGAAGAATGGTG